AACCTTCATTCAAGTGCGAGGAATTTGATCTTTCATGGATAGATGGAAAGTTAAGAGGTAAAGTAAAAGATAAACGCAAGTTTGGTGGAGGGAGACGAGTCCTGTTCATCAAGACCAACAACGCCTTAGCCTTCTGATGCTAAAAACAAACCCATATTGAAGATATCCACAACAATCCCGAGACCAATCAAGAAATATTCTTTCTTAACAATCCCAGAGGCCAATAAAAAGCTTGCACCACCGAAGCTACAAATCACACTTCAAAAACACTCCTAAAATAGGACCAAAGAATCCTTGATCTCCTTGTTTCTCTCTCAAAACTCACAATTTTCTCCAATCAAATAAACTAGCCTTAAAAAAAAAAGAAAAAAAAAAAATTCCAAAACCCAAAAACCAAATAAAGAAATAAATAAAACTAGCAAGATGCAATTAAATAAAATGATCATTTTCTTTTTTCTTTACAAAAACATGGCCCTCATCTCGGGTTTTTTTTTTCTTTGTGCACAAATCTAGCTTGAAATGCCCCACGGTTGGCGCCAAATTGTTTATTGTGCAAATCGAAGAGATCTTCAGAGGAACATCCCTCAGATCTGAACACCAAACTGATTTTAAAAAAGAAGAAGTGAGAGATAGTGGGGAGAATCAAATTCTGATATGAGGCCAGATCTATTAAAAAACGAATAGATCCACTCTCAGATCAGTGGCAGAGCCAACATCGATCTAAAAGCACGTAATACAATATAAAATTCAATAAAACAGATTTAATCTAATAAAAAACAAAAATATAGAAAAGAAATATAGAAATGTAAAAAAAATACCAGATTGGGCCAGTTGGCCTGGGACTCTCGAGGCTTCGAGGCCTCGCCTATATCAGAATTGGCTAAGTTTGTGTCGTGCATCCTATTTCTCTCTCTCTTAAAGTTTTGACTAAGCCCTGGCTTGGTTGAATGGTTATCTTTGTCCAATGGTGGCCTGAAGCTAGGGTTTTCCTAAGTCTAGGATTTGCTAGACGGCTTTCTCTCTCTTTCTCTCATTTTTTTCTACATGTCCTACCTTCCTCTCATTTCTAACATACACGTCCCACCCAAAGATTTTTCTCCCTTTCTTAGGTACGCTAGTCTTTTCTCTTAAACACCTAATAGGGGTGTAGAATAGAAACTACAGGATTTGCTAGGTGTAGAATGGATAGCTCCTAAAACCCTGAGATTTGCTAGGTGTGGACTGGATACCTACTAAAACTATGATATTTGCTAGGTGTGGAATGGATACCTACTAAAACTATGGGATTTGCTAAGTGTGGATCATAGGAGGGGATCATGGAGTATGACGGTATACGGTTTAGGGGTCTACTGAAATAGTGTGGTCCTATGGGTTCAAAAAAACCATAGAATTTATTAATTTTAAAATGGGGTGTCTACAACATACAAACAACATCTTTTGGGTTTTAAGAAGGGTGCAGTTTGCCTACAGCTGCATCTGTAGCTGTAGAGGTAAGGTGCACCTTCAAATTTTATCATGGTATATAATTTTGATATAAAATGTTCTTATGATTTTCTCAAAATCTATTTTTATATCTAATTATAAAATTTTCAATTTCAAAAATGGTTAAAATCAAGTAGATCTATAAACATATGAAAATCTTGAAAATGTACGGTGTAGATAATATGTTGTAAAATGCACTATTTCTGTGACTTAAAATCTTTTTATTTTTCATGGTCATACATCTCAATGTCGAGATGATCAATCAAAGGGGTTTTTCAACATTAAAACAAACTTTTCATATGGATTTTTTTAGGTGCATCCGTAGCTGTAAAGGTAAGGTTGCAACCTTATATAAACTTTTTCCTTTTAAGAATATCAGGCTTATCCATTATTAAGGCAGTCATCTAGTGTATATTAGAACCATTGTCTCATAATCACCTCAATCTTTATCGAGTGTTTGTTAGAATGTATTTAGTCTTGTATTAATTGCCGCCTCCAGTAATAAATGCCGCATTAATTTCTTTCTTGTCACGTGGCTCGATCTGGTACAATTTTGTGGGCGGTGTGTCTAAGGTCTGGTGTGCGTGCTTGGGGTGTCGATGCGACTTGGAACCGTTCCTTCCTTAAAAATGTCACATATCATGCTCTGGAGCTTCTGATCATGATTGGGTGCTACTTGGACTTCCTCCGATGCCACTTTGAATGGCAATGGCTTATGACGATTATTCCAACGCACCATACTTTCGGCGGCTAGCGGGACAGTTCCTAGTCCACCAAAACTTGACACGTATGTTCGTACCGTTATCAAAGATCACGTCAGTATATTCTGTCACATGTCAGTCTGTACTGACAAGCATCATTACTCGACTTTATGCTATTTCTACAAATCGTTGCCATTTTGAGGCGCATTGGTCTGACGAAACTTCAAGGGGTGCCGGCTAGGCCCTTCACACTCCTTTCAGGCCATTTTCTATATGTTGTCTTCTGTCTACCTTCTGTTGCCGCGGGGTGATGTTCTGGCACCACTGGGACTGGTGCCAGACATTCTTTTCCTATGTTGCCTTCTGTTGCCGCTGGGAGATGCTCCGGCACCACTGGGAGTGGTGCCAAACAATCTTTTCCTATGTTTCTCCTGGTTTGGCGATCTTGATTACTGTTTTGACATATTTCGAGTTACAAGTGCCTTCAGCCCTATCAGAGTATTTCAAGGGCTTGTGAGGTCTAATTTTACAGATGAGTTAAAGTGAGTGTAAATATTTCAAGTACCAAGGTGGCTTGCCTGAGGCATTTTCGTCCATCGTGGTTCCCTAAATCGAGACCGGGGTGTCTACAACTAAATGAAGTACAGTGACTTAAAGAGAGAGGGAGAGAGATGTCATTAATGCTATAAAGACCCCTTAGATTTCGCATACAACCTTCACTCTCTCTAAAAACAAGCAAAACATTATTCTTTACTTACAAATTCATTATCTCTCTACTTCATCTCTCTCATATATGCATACATAATTTTCAAAGCTTGTATGCTTTGATATATAGGAAATTTGTTGTGGTTTTGGATGAGTTAGAGTTTGAGATCTGGGAAATAAAGCCTAGTGGTCACAGAGCTACTGAATTTTGAGAATTATAGAATCTTAAGTATAAAGAAATAAGGCTTGGTTTATGGAATAGGGTTTAATGTTTTGCGAGCTTTATTTTGTTAGTGATTGCACTATGGTGTTTTTTATATAAGCCTCTTGGTGATTTTAGAGCTTTAGATTGTAGGGCTTGCATTGTGATAAATCTATTTGAAATGTATTGTATATCATGATGAACTAAGATTCAACGGTTGCAAAGATTTCACGTTTTTTTCCCTTGTATTTTCAGGAAAACTCTTAAAAACGCCAGGGGGTAAAAGTGCACAGTGTTTTTGCCCCACAACGGTTGTAGAGCTATTTAGCCTGAAAAGTCGCAACGACTGCCTTAGAGCTGTTGCGATTTCGTGTGAAAAATCGATCGCACCAGACATATTATGTTCGAACAATGCCGAGCCTATGGGTGAAAAGTTGTTGAGTAGTGGTTTCCTATATAAGAAAATCATATGATTCATATTCTTCGTTGCAATTTACAATTTTTGGATCTTCTGATATTGTGAATTTTCATTTTTATTGCTCTCTTTATATGCAAGTTTTTTCACCCATGTTTTCATTTATGCCACTCAATTTATGAGTGAAGATACTACCTGGAGCTTTCTTTTTGTTTGTTTGATTTATTGGGCCACGATGATTGAATGCTTTTGTGCTCCTACTCCAGTTGCCCATTGAAATATTTGAAGCTCACTCTTTATGTTTTTGCTAGAGTTATTGTGAGTTTGTTTATATGGTTTTTCATTAAGGTTCTCACTTCTTTCTTTCTTTCTTTTCTTCTTCTTCTTGTTTTTCACTTTTCTCCTAAAATCCAAGAAAGTCAGCTGGTGAGATTTTCTTAAGAAAACTGTAAGAAAGTTATCAAATGTACCCTTAGGGCTTTTGCATTTCTAAGAAGGTCAAAGAGAGGAAAATAAAAGAGAGATGGTGAGAGAGTAATTTGTAGGGGGTGAGAGAGAAAGAGTAAATGCGCTTGGTGCAAAGAGAGACAGAGCATGTGCTTGGAGAGATATGGCGTGCGAGAGATAATTAGCGAGAGATGATGGGAGAAAAATGATAGGAGAGCTCAGGTTGATTTGGGGCATCTAACCGCCAATTTAACCCGTTGGGTTTGAAACATCGAAAGTGTGATTCGATGTTTAATGAGTCAAATATCAAATTACTCTCTATACTGCGACTTATTCATAACAGAAGACGATATGATGTTTCAAATACCAGATAAATGACAAAAAGTAAAAATTCCTCTAAATATAAGGCAGTCTTTTTGAAATGTTGGACCTATGAAATATTGGACATATGAAAGAAGAAAATATGAGTCGCCCGATGTTTTATACATCATACCACATCGTACGCAGCAGTGGAATGGAAGTGTTGGCAGTCCAATATTTCAAACATTGGAACGCCCTACAAATTACAAATGAGGTAGTTCGATATTTTCAATGTGAAACCACCCTATGAAAGTGAAAAATATTAAAAATAAAATTAACAAGTGGTCGAGGTTCTGAACTTCATTAGAACCGGGTAAAAGTTAGAGAAGAATATAAAAATTCCAGGATCAGGCCTCTCTTGCTTCTACACAACACAAGGAGAGAGAGAGAGAGAGAAAAATCAAGTAAAGTAACAAATTGAAGATTCTTTAATTACCTTGCTCTCATGCTTCTACACAACACAAGGAGGAAAATCATAATGAAACTGCTACTTTATGCAAGGAGGACTTCTATTCAAAATGATTTACAATGAAAAATGGTGGTGCTGCTGCTATTTATACTACATAAACAGGAGAGAGAGACGTTTCTTCTTCATATAAGGCAAATGGATTATAGAAAAGAATGGCCCTATTTATGCTACATACACAGCGTGGTGGTCTCTACGAATTGAAGGATATGAATTTCAGAATAAAAAAATTTCCTTTTTCATATCAAACAAAGAGTTGCAGTCGAACTGCCTTGCACACAGTAGAAAAAGCTAGGATCCAAATGGAGAATCGAAATTTAGAGAGAGAAAAAACCTAAGTGTCAAGTCGGTTTTAGAAAGTAACAAAAACCTAAGGGTCGAATGGATTGTATAGAGGGAAAACCTGAACTGGTTCTAGAGAGAGAGAGAGAGAGAGAAAGAGAGAGTAGCTAGGGTTCTTGAAGCTCAGGGTTGGCACCTTCCATGTCTGGTTGTTCAATTCGCCCTACACCTGTTGCTTCCTCCCATTGACGCTGAAGCTCCTCGTTCCTCTTCGTGAGGATCTCCAGCTCACTGGTTAATCGATCGTGCTCCAATTGCAGGCTCCCGAGCAAATCCAAGAGCTCAACCTCTCTCCTTCCGTCCACGAACATATCCACCAATCTGACCAAACCCTGACGCTGAGCTTCTGAGTGCTCCAAAATCCTCTCTAACTCAGGAATCATCGCAGCCATTCTCCCTCCACTAACCACTGTCTTGGCCTCCCCCCCTTCTTGATTTGTCTCTCCCTCTCTCTCCTCCTGATCCCCACTTTCTCTCTCTTTATTCACGCCCCCTGCTCGGATTTCTTGGTTCTTGGCCTCCTCACTCTCTTCTTCAGCCTCAATTTCTTGATTATTGGCCTGATCTTGCTCTTTCTGTGCCCCTGTTTCATCAATTTCATGATTCTTGGCCTGATCTTGCTCTTTTTGTGCCCCTGTTGCATTGATTTCCTGATCTTGCTCTTTCTGCGCCCCTCTTTCATCATTTTCTTGATTTTTGGCCCCTTGCTCTTCTTGAAAGGGAAACACAGGAACAAAACGGAAACAATCCTCATCAAAATTCCACCCACTGATCCTCCTCGTCTTCTGCAACTCATGAGCTTCGTCCTCCTCGTCGTCGACCATTTGCTTAGGGATGCGTCCTGCCTCTGCCATTGCCTTGAACCTCACCTCCACACTCGGCAAATCGTTCAAAACATGCTTCACCAAATACTCTGACGACTTACAGTGCTTAAAGAAGGAATGCTTCAAAAGCTTCGAAGCAGATGGCCTCTTCACCGGATCGTGTGTCAAACACAGACCTACCATCTCTCTAAACGCCTTCGAGAACTTCTTTCTCGATGAGGCTGGGAACGGCTTTGTAGCACTGAGAACGATGGCCTTACCGAGAGGCACATCAGACCTTGGCAACTTGCCATGCGCAAGCTCGAGAGCAGTTATGCCTAGTGACCACACATCGGCCTTGTAGTCATAGCCAGGTCCGCCCCTTGCAGCCGAGTCTATGACCTCAGGCGCCATCCAGTAAGGAGTCCCAGCCATTTCCTGTAGCTTCGTCAAAGAGGAAGGGTCGAAGAGAGAGGCCGAGACCCCAAAGTCCGCAACCTTGATGAGGCCCATTGAGTCCAGCAATATGTTCCCGGCCTTGATGTCTCTGTGAACGTGGCCCTGCTGGTGGAGATAGTTGAGAGCACGCACAGTGTCTCTGAGAACGATGGCTATGACAGTCTCATCGAAGCCTGAGGGAAAAGATGCAGAGAGGATGCTGTGCAGCGAGCCGGCAGAGCAGAATGGCATGACGACCCAGAGAGAGTGGTCTACGGTGAAGGAGCAGTGGGCGGTGAGGACATTGGGGTGGGAGAGGAGAGTCATGGTCTGGGCTTCGCACCTGATGTCATCAAGGCGATGAGTAGGGGCTCGGTCAAGGTCCAGTGCCTTGATGGCCACGGTGCTGCCGAGGGGGAGGCACTCGGCTAGGTACACCACTGAGCTCAGGCCTTGGCCGATCTCGTGGACGATGCGGTAAGCCGAGGCTTCCAGGGGGTAGGGAACCCTCAGCCGAGGGTCTGTAGCCATGACTAGAGAGAGAGAGAGAGAGAGACTCTGAAAATAAGAGGGTCGGGGAAAGGAGGGAGAAAACATATATACAGGCGCGGGATCGCATGTGAGGAGGAGCGAGAAGGTAGAGGGGTGGGAGATTCGTGAGCGGTTAGTTGTTGGCTGCGCTGGACGTTACCGCTCGCCATTCATATTCTCTCTCTACTTCTTTCTCTCTCTCTGCTTTCTACTCACGCGCAAAGAAATAGAGAGAAAAGGGGGGAGGGGGCTCACGGTTTTTTTCATATTAGAGAGGGAAAGCTGAGGAGGTTTCACGGTTCTTGCAGATTGACCTACCTGGAGCAGAAAGAGAGAGGACGGTAGATAAGAGATTGTGTTAAGAGTTCACGGAGGGTTTGGGTAGAGAATGAATGGCAGTTGAAGGAAAGTTTTGGCAGTTGGCCTGAAACGATTGGGGCAGTTAATGGGCAGGGCCGGGCATCCGGAATTTCGGGCCGGGTGTTGGGTCGATTCCATTTCTACTTTGTTGATCACGCATAACAGTGATAAGTCTTCATGGTCCCTTGCCGCTCATTACAAAACTTGAGTCTTAAGGTCTGGATCCATGATAGGGCCGGTCTAGTCTGGCCCAACTCAACCCTTTTCTCTTTACTTTTTGTTTTATTTTCTTGGATTGTGTTTGGCCGAGCTGGACTTGGGCTACGGCCTCTTGGGCGCAGTCTAGGCCAGGCTAGGCTAGGGCCAAGGCTGGCCTGGCCTATTGCTAGCCCTAGTGACATTTAAAAATTAGTTACGAGAGCCGGCATATCTTAATACTAGGGTGTAAGCAAGCCGGGTCTAGGTGGACTCTTACTTGATTGAAGGCCCATCGAGCTTGATGGGCCCTAAAAAGGGCTTAGAACCGCCCCATACCAAGCCAACCATCCATGCCTATTGGTACTTACATTTGGTTGCGTCACTCGGTCGCAGCCATCTCGATTTTGAGTTCAATAAAATTAAAGAACAATTTCAGAAATCCCCGAATAGTTGAAATTTTAGACAACATTGCCGCGACCATGTTGTTTACAGTAATTTTTATCCCAAATTTGACTTTCCTAACAAATACATCCCAAGGCATTTTTTTTAACGAAATGCCCTTTTTCATACATATGAAATTATGTTTGGCCATATGGGCTGATGCTCATTACAAGAAGCTACATCAACTGTTGGGCTGATGCTCGATACAAGAAGCTACATCAACTGTTAAATTGTACGCAATTACTTCCGGTCTGGGGCAGCCAAGTATCTGAGCGCTTCATCAACATAATGCCGGAGTGTGTGATCGCAAAAAACCCTTGTCGGGCCGCGTCTTCACCTGCTTGCTTGGGGTAATGCATCGAAACTGCCGGAGCACATCGCCCAATTGTCGGACCGTGATAATAAAATGTTGGGGCGCATTCATTAATCTTGAATCACTACGTGCCTAACCAACAATTTAATTTGTCAAATCCCTTCAAAATAAAAAACAGTACCATACTGCCTTGGGTTTTCCACCTGGCCCATATAACTCGAAAAGCCCTTTATGTTGGACCGCCTATATTATTTGTTGGACCCATGTTATTCCACACGCCTTTTTGCTGGACCCATGTTATTCCACAAGCCCTTTGTGCCGGACCGCCCTTGTCATTTGCCGGACCCCATAGTGATCCAAACCATTTGTGCCGAACTGCCAGAGTAATTTTCCAGACCCCTTATAAAATCCAAAACAGTGTTGGACCTGCATATTCTTAGTCTTCTGCTTAATCTCTCTCATCTCTGCATACATTATTTTCAAGCTTGTATGCTTTGATATATATGCAATTTATCGAGGTTGTGGATGAATTAGAGTTTGAGATCTAGGAAGCCTGATGGTCATAGAGATACGGATATTGAGAATGGATATTGGGAATTACAAGGTCGGAAATTTTAAGAAAATAGGGCTTGGATTGTGGAATAGGGTTTAATGTTTCGAAGCTTTAATTTTTTAGTAATTTCATTATGGTGTTTTTTGCATAAACCTCTTGGTGATTTTAAAGCTTCTGATTTTAGGGCTTTTACAGTGATAAATCTATTTAAAAATTTATTATATTTCATTGTGAACTAAGATTCAATGGTGGTAAAAAGTTCACGTTTCTTCTCCGTGAAATTGGAGAATGTTTTCGTGGCAGTGGTTTCGCATAAAAAATCGACCACACCAAACATATTAAGTTCATTGCGATATGGCACTGGACACACATAGTATGTCCAGCGTGGTTGATTTTTGTACGCTGTTCCAAAAAATCGGATGGCGCCGAGTTTATAA